TTCTCCTCTATTTCTGGTTTATCATATCTTGGAAGGAAGTGGAAAATTGAGGAAGTTTTCAAGAATTTAGTTAATGTGGGAGATGAGCTAAGTCAAGAAAACTTATTTAATGTTTGAAATGTACTTTGCTTAATATATTACTATCCAATAAGGGGTTTTGCTCTTATGCTTAAAGGGGTTGTTTTTCTTCAAGTTCTTGAAATAGTTTTGTTAAGAAGTATAGCTTGTTCATTGTTTAGGACAAATTCTGCAGAGTTTATGATCATTGGGGGTTGAAAGATTCTTCTTTTATATTAATACTTTTTGAGGTGTTCAGATTGTTTTTTGTGGGGTTCTTAACTGGGGTTGTTTCTCTTCAAATTCTTGAAATAGTTTTGCTAAAAAGTGTAGCTTGTTCATTGGTTGAGACAAATTCTGCAGAGTTTGTGATATTGGGGTTTAAAGATTCTCCTTTTATCTACTTTTTGAGGTGTTTAGATTGTCAAGATTTGTGGGTTCTATAATTGGAGTTTTTCTTTTACTTGAAAGAAAATGGTTGGTAGTATTGAAGTGAAAAGTGGTAATAGTGTGTACTCAAATGGGAGTGTACACAACCACAATGGTCCAGAGGAGAAACTTGATGAGCTTAGGCATATTCTTGGTAAATCTGATGGTGATTTGTTGAGGATAGTTTGTGTTGGAGCTGGTGCTTGGGGCAGTGTTTTTGCAGCTTTGTTGCAAGATAGTTATGGTCAATTTCGCGATAAGGTTCAAATTAGGATATGGAGAAGGTCAGGGAGGGCTGTTGATAGAGCCACAGCAGAACATTTATTTGAAGTGATCAATTCAAGGGAGGATGTGTTGAGGAGGTTGATAAGGAGATGTGCATATCTCAAATACGTCGAGGCTAGATTAGGCGATCGGACATTGTATGCTGATGAAATCTTGAAAGATGGTTTCTGCTTAAACATGATTGATACACCATTTTGTCCATTGAAAGTTGTGACCAACTTGCAAGAAGCTGTGTGGGATGCTGATCTTGTGATTAACGGATTGCCCTCGACTGAAACACGCGAAGTCTTTAAGGAGATCAGCAAGTATTGGAAGGAAAGATTAACTGTACCGATCATCATTTCATTGGCAAAGGGTATAGAGGCCGAACTAGATCCAGTTCCTCATATTATTACTCCTACACAGATGATTAATCGAGCAAGTAAGAGTTTATCTTTATCTTGCTTTAGATCTTGTTTCCAGCTGATCTTTACTCGACTTACAGTTCCTAATCAGTATGGCCTTTGAACGCGTGTTTTTCATATAGTGGTTCCTAAATATGTTGAAATGAAACAGAACTTTACTCAGTATGAGCATGTGATTGTTAGTTGTAAAAGAACAACTAAAATGTATCAAAGCTAAAATGTATCGAAGCTTTGTTTCATCCATCAATATGTTAGTTGTAAAAGAAAGAATAATGTTTTGCCTTTCAGTTTCTTAACAATATGATCTGTTCATTGCAGCTGGAGTACCAGTTGAGAATATCCTTTATCTTGGTGGACCAAATATTGCATCGGAGATTTACAACAAAGAATATGCTAATGCTAGGATTTGTGGATCAGAAAAATGGAGAAAACCACTTGCAAAGTTCCTAAGGCAACCTCATTTTATTGTATGGGACAACAGCGACCTTGTAACTCACGAAGTCATGGGAGGTTTGAAGAACGTCTACGCCATTGGAGCTGGTAAATCTTGGTCTTTCTCAATGTTTGTTTGTCTGGGGAATTTATTTTTCAGGTTAAAACCGTTCCCGGTAATAAGCAACCATTTTTGTCTTTTTGACTCGTCAGTTTACTATTATGTTCCGAATACTCAAAAATTGAAAAATGAGCAAGCCTAAGAGCTCTTCAGAGGCTAGTTTAGTCGGCCATTCCATGTTCAAGTTTCATGGTGGCTATTTATAACAAATTATCATCTTCATCTTTAGTTATTCTCAATGAAAAAGCATCATTGGTGTTTATAGCATCTTGTGCCCCTGATTTATGGTACATATTTCCTCCATAAAGACTTGAGAATACACTAGAGACATTTAGCAATTCTCCATGTAACATATAACAAGTTTCAACAATTTACGGTGTTATATGCATCATTAATAGGAGAATTGTCTTACCTTTATTGATATTATTGGTGAGGTAAAGAGAGAATCATTTTTCCTGTTGTACCGTTAAATGTAAATGAGGATTTCGTAAGAGGGACCAGTAACTTGATATTGAAACTGGAATTCTCATCAGAGCCATATGCCCGGCATTTGAAGTCCTGAGCTAACGTTTATGTAACACCAATTTTTTTTTGTGAGAATCTTCTCATTGTTTTTGTGCTTGCCTTCTCATTGATTCCAGGGATGGTAGCTGCACTAACAAATGAGAGTGCTACCAGCAAATCAGTATATTTTGCACATTGTACATCAGAGATGATATTCATCACATATTTACTGACTGAAGAACCAGAAAGGCTTGCAGGGCCTCTTCTAGCTGATACATATGTTACATTGTTGAAAGGTCGTAACTCCTGGTATGGTCAAATGATAGCTAAGGGAGAACTGAGTCTCGATATGGGTGATAGCATTAGTGGCAAAGGAACAATCCAGGTACTCATTTTCTATTACCTATTCTCTTATTATCTCTCTGAAGAGTAGTACTCCCTCCATTTCAATTTGTTTGTCCTACTTCCCTTTTTAGTTCGTTTAAGAAAGAATGCTTCTTTGTTTTTTTGTCCTACGGTCTAAAACCCATTAGAAGCATACTTTGTACAGTGGAAATGGATACTCGATGTTTGGATTTGACACTGTTGTTGATCCTGAATTTTTCCTAGCAATTTCCTCTTTCATTTTATACTAATGCATCAAGTTATTGAGCTTGATCCTTACTGTAACAACTTCTAAGATTCCGGCATCCTAAGCAGTCACGTTCTTTTTCACTTTCCATAGGGAGTTTCTGCTGTCGAAGCATTCTATGAACTTCTAAGTCAGTCAAGTTTGAATGTGTTACATCCCGGAGATAATAAGCCGGTTGCCCCAGTTGAGCTGTGCCCCATCTTGAAGACTTTATACAGGATACTCATAAAAAGGTAAGTCCTTGTACAACACAACATATAGTTGCTGCTTGTGATTTGTTGCTAATGCGTAATCCCGTGTTATAAACTCAACAAATCAGCTGTTATAATTATAATTTAACTTATATACACTGATATCATAAGAGTTTTTACACCATCAGTGTAATTTAACATGTTACAGGCAGCAGGTTGTCTACCTTACTTTCCAAGTTACTAATTCCATTTGTTAAATGAGCAAAAATTTTTACGCAGTCAGTGTATATAAGTTGAACTCTTACAATTTCATGCATAAACAATGAACCGCTACCATCCTAGCAAACTTGTATACGAAAACGACGATTAAGTTTTCATTTTCAAGGGCTAATTTATCCATGTTTTTTTTTTTTAATTTCCAGAGAACAAGGGCCAATGGCTATTCTTCAGGCACTGAGGGATGAAAACTTGAACGATCCGCGCGATCGGATTGAGATTGCACAAAGCCATGCTTTTTACAGGCCTTCACTTCTTGGACAACCTTGATCAACAATTTATGCACAACATTTTTAGTATTTAAAGCAATGAATAAGTGTATAGAGTGATTCAAATTGGATGGATTGTTTTTATGTGGTGAAGAAAACATACATTTCATACTCAAATTTGTATTGATGAACATGCTTAACATATGGTCCTATTTTCTTGAAATTCATTTGAACTTGAAGCCTTTTGTATGGTTTGTTCTTTCCAAAAGCCATTTTGAATTTACTGAATGTTAGTATATTGTGGTCTTTTTTTGAATTCAGCGGAAGCTTAGTGAATCGAGCTGTCTTTATTGTTTTTTAGATGAAAGTGTCCCTTTATTTATTTTGAAGATAAGAGTTTCAAATTCGAAAAAATGACTTCGACAAATTTTTCAAACTCATAAAATTTTAATCTTTTTTCAAGATAAATGTATCTTCATGCACATATTAATTTTTTTTTTTTTTTTTTTTTAACGTCCATATCCCTACTAAATATCTTGAATTTTTAAAAAAAAAGCTATTTTTGAGTTGTTTTTTTTTTTTTTTTAAATGAGTTTCAAATTTGAAAAAGTGATTTTGATTAGTTAAGTGTTGTTTTCACTCATAAAATTTTAATTATTTTTCAAATTAAGTACATGTTCAAAAACATCTTTAATTTGCAAATATACTTTTTTTTTTCAACTTAGTTTTAAATAAATTTTTTGCATTTGGCCATAAATTCTAAATTTTATTTTATTTGTCATAATTTCTTCACTTTTTTCCCAATCTGCTTTGATATGCTTCTTGAGCTGAGAATTACAATGAGTATGTCATTGTTGTTTGGAATTTACGAAATTGGAGTCGAAGATGAATTTCCCATCCAGTGTCTGGGCCTCCAATATGCTTCTTGAGCCGAGAATCTATCAGAAACAACTTTTCTACATCTCAAGATAGAAAATAAGGTTTGCATACATTTGACTCTCCCCAAATTCCACATATAAAATTACAATGAGTATGTCATTTTTATTTGGAATTTATGAAATTGGAGCCGAAGATAAATTTCTCACTTGATGTCCGATACCCACATTGGAGGCCGACAAAATCTAAATTTGCGCCGAAGTCCCACATTGAGGGGCTAGTGCCCACATTGGAAAACCGACAAAATCTGGATTTGCGCCAAAGTCTCGGGAGTGAAACACTCCCTAACAAACACGACTTTGCAGGGGTAAAACGCTGCCTAATAAGGCGACTATATACCTAAGGAAACTCAAACCCGATACCTCATAAAGGATGAATGACTACTTTACTCCGTTACAACCCTCGTTGGTGTGTTTGGATATAGATAGTTATACAAGGAAGAGAAGACATCACTTTAAAAAAAAAAAAAAAAGTTCCCAACTTGGAAAAAAAAGAAGTAAAACCATATTCCATTTTGTAAAAGCCGCAATAATTTTCAATTGGCTAAATACGTTTCTGAAAAAGCTGATTTTCAAAGTCTCCGCATCTTTGCTACGGCGTTTAATTCTACCAAAAAAATGGGGGATTCAAACAATCTTGAAGAATCCTTGAAACCCTTTTACCAGAGAGCTTCAGAGGCTGAGGTACTTTTTTTATACATCAATTCTTTGTTCATGTTTTCTTGTTTAATGTTCTTTTTTTCTTCAAGTTTTGTGCTTTTTTAACCATCTATAGGATTTAATGATTTGTGGGGTTTGCATATTTCTTTCAGTTTTGGTAGATTTTGACGTCTGAGTATGTAAAAATCTGTGCTTTAGTGAATTTCATTGTCATTTGGATTTTAACCTGTGCTCTTTAAGCTTCAGTTTGAATGTGTGTTCTTTTTCTTCAATTACTGTGAAAGTTCTATGCTTTTTCTTTTACAGGTTTATTGATTTATGGTTTTTGCATTTTCTTTCAATCCAATGAATTGTAGCATTTATTTTCATTTATGTGCCACATGGGAGTCGGTTGACGAGTTGAGTTGTCTAGACGTGCATTTTCAAAGTTGACGTGTTTAGTTGCCCCAATTTAAGGTTTTTTTCTATATATTATGTGCCTTATTTTGATCTTGATTTCAACTTGTGCTGTTAAACTTTAGTATTGAATTTCATTTTTTCCCTGTTTGGTACATTAGTGTAAAGCTTCATGCTTTCCCTTCTATAGGTGATGGTTTTGGGGTTTTGTTTTCTTTCAATTTTGATAAATTCTGAGCCCATACAAGTCTTTTCTTTAGTTGGAGACAATATTATTGCACTGTTAGACTGTACAGATAAACGTTGTATGAATGCTGCTTTCGTCTATGTTGCATGACTTCGGGTGCTTGTTGGATCCTTCAAAAGTAGTGCATTTTCAGAGGATCTAACACTGCTGCTGCAGCATTTTTTGAGAGTCCGAGTAATTTCATTTGGCTAATTGTTTTGTTGAATTTTCTTGTTCAATGTTCTTTTTGCTTCAAGTTTTGTGCTTTTTCCCCTTCTATAGGATCTAATTATTTGTGGGGTTTGTATTTTTCTTTCAATTTTGATATATTCTGAGCCCATTCAAGTCTTTTCTTTAGCTGTATGCATTACTATTGCAATTTCAGATTGTAAAGATGAACTTAGTATGGATGCTACTTTCTTTTGGCTAATTGCTTTTAAGAATATTCTGTTGGTTATGCGTTGAAGTATTTGGTGAATGTTGCTCGAAACTCATGTAGGATCCGCTTTTGGAGAGTCTGAGCAACATATTTTGGTAATCCTCACACATCAGATTTGTGCACCTTCGATTCAATTTCATGGATCATGTTTATCAGCTAATGAAAAAATGGATTTGAAAGTTGGAACTGCCAAAACAAACAGTTAATGCAGTTATTCCTCTGATTTTTCCCGAAGAATTTCGAGCAGAGTCTGATTATGTTCCTCCAATAGTTCACGCATATGTACATACAGTGTGCAATGTATACCCTCGCGTTGCTATCATCTAAACTTTCATGGCCTCTTGTCTTACTTCCTCTTTTGAGAATCTAACTCTATCATTTGCATACCTTATATGGCCCAAGCCTATTAGAAACCATGAGATTCTATCCTAATAAGGTTTTTTGCATTCTAAATGGCTGGTACCAACAAAAAATGCCATTAGATTAAATGTATTTACATATTTACAATCATAATTGTTCTTATTGTTGTTACTGCTTATCTCTTCATAAATGTTGTGTTTTTCCTTTCCTTGAGCTGAGGATCTATTGGAAACAACCTCTCTTCCTGTCAAGGTAGGGGTAAGGTCTGCGTACACTCTACCTCCCAGCCCCGCTCGTGGGACTATACTGGGTATGTTGTTGTTTGTTGACATCCGTAATTGTGGTGTATGTAAAACTTTTTGTCGTTTTGTCTTATTCCAACTTTTCTACGTTTACCATCATCGGTGGATACTAAAGACAGTTTCTTTGACTGAAGGAACGATTGGCAAGACTTGAAATTTCAGTTGCTAGTAAGACAGGTTAGTGATGCCTTCAATCATATCCTATGTTGCTTGGATCCTTCAAAAATACGCGAGCAGCATAGATCAAATCTCCTATTGACAACATTTCTAGTTCATAAGTTTTCTCATCTATGCAAACCCGAGGCGCCTGCTGCATTTTCATGTTTATGTGCATGTTGGTGGTTCTTCAGATCCTAAAAATGAGGAATTAGAGAGAACAGTTGCTGAACTCCAGTCAAAGCTGAAGGATGTCACAGCTGAGCTAGAAGCAGAACAAGAAAAGGTCGAGATTTGGATTTGATTTCTTAATCCTTTTCGCCTTTTCAGATAGTGGCGTTGAAGCCAACTAAAGATCAAATTTTCGTTTGATTTCAGGGACATAAACAGGTCGAACAACTAACTTCAGAGAATGCAAAGCTCAAATATCGTATCAAACATCTAGTTCAATCGCTAGAGGAGGTTCTTAGCAAGTTGGCATCGAAGTGAGGTAAAACATTTCATATTGCTCTACTTTTCTTGCATAATCTTTGTTGATATTTAATTAAGTAAATAAAATGAACTCTTATTAAGAGTGTAAGCTTTTAGATGAGATGATCACACCATTCCGACATGATATTAGAGTAGACATATGCCATGAGTTTAGGTCTCACCGCCATCTATTAACAAAAAGAAAAAATCTCGTGCTTGACCAATGAAATAGAATTAGACTCGCACATGAGGAGTCATTATGAACACTAATTTTAAGTAAACAAAAGTGTACTCTTTCTTAGAGTTGTAAGTTTTTCGATGAAATGGTCACATAATTCGAACAATCTTTTCCCTTTTCTTCTTGCAGCAAGCCAAGAAAACAAGGCATATTTGTAATTATTAATGTGACTATTTCGATTATTTCACCTGCGTAACTTTACCCACCAAGGTTTAGGTTCATGAAAAGTACCCAAGGTATGGCCTAGCGGTCAATGAAGTGGTTAAAACCCATGAGGTCTCGAGTTCAAATCCTAGTAGAGGCAAAAATATTAGATGATTTGTTTCCATTTGTCCAAGCCTTGATGGACATAGTTAACAACAAAAAAAAGGCTTAGGCTACTGTCAAGATATTTGTAAATTTATATATGCTTTTTTCTTACCGGTAATTAATAATTTAGCATCTTTTTCTAGTTGTCATATTATTTTGTCATTGCTAATATTCTCTTCATTGTTTTCAACATGACTTCTTAGCCACTACATTTGTTTTACCTATTTATTTTTTAGCCGGAGGTCTATCGAAACATCCTCTCTTCCTTCACAAGGCAAGGGTATGGTATAAACGTACACACCACTTTCTCCAAACTCACTTATAGAATTACATTGATTATATTATTATTGTTGTTGATAATTTGCACATTTTATGTGATCACACTAATGTCTCATGAATTTTCCTTTATTGCAGGTAATTTTTTTTGAAGCGGGATGATAGCTCTTTTACTTCAAATACTTAGTTGCATGTTAGCAAAGGAGTTATTTAAACTGTTGATTCTTATGCATGAGTTTTAAGAAAAAGGAATTTAAATTGTACTCTTTCTTTAAAAAAAAATCATAACCGTTGTATTTTGGCTTATTTCTGGGCATCTCAACTAATTTCACGAGGTAATTGGTACTTTCCATAAGCACTTGTATCAGATTACTTTATCTACCAAAACTTAGGACAAATATTAATATTCAGTAAATTCAAAATGGCCCAACAACATTATAGTATATATTATGTAAACCAATCCGTGAATTATACCATAGTTAAATAAAAAAATATGAAAGTAGCTCTACACTGATAGGATATAACTTGAAAACAATTAAACACTCATATAATGCATCAAAAAGTACATTGACCAACACTTAATTTTTTTTTTATGACAATGGTGTTTGAATCAACGTGTGTGCACCTCAATTGTTTCGCAGGCACTTGCTAGCTACTCCCATTATATATAGAGTAACTTTGTCCACCAAAGTACCTAATATGAAATCATGTAATTCTTTCTACTCCTTAGAATTTAAACTTGAAACCTTGTGATTTTTCTCACTGCATAGACCATAAGGCCACACAACTCAAGTGCTCTAGCATCCAAACACGAGATTTTCAGTCATATCAGAAGATAGAGCAACCTTTTTTGTAGGAGTGAGTATATATAGAAACCATTCTTCAAAGAAAAGAATAAACATAGAGAAATATAGTTGACTCTTCATACATACCCCATCCATATCAGGACAAACTACACAATATAATGATTCATCGATGCAACAAAGTTTCTGCAGAAGTGTATATATATATATAATATATATATATATATGATAACCGTGGTGTACATACCTACTTGATTGCATCTCGGCTAATTTCACAAGGTACCTGCTATCTCCACCAACATAGGTACCAGATAACTATCAACTAAGGCTTGTAGAATCAAGAAGAAATAACCTAGTGTTTTTGGCTCCGCTGAGATCTCAACTTAAAATTTCATGATTCTCACCCTACTTCATTGACTACTAAGTTCCACACTCTTGGGTGTGTTTCTCCAGAACAATATATAGTTGCCAAGTTCTATAGACAGTAAATTTAAAGAGAAAACCAGCTGCAAATTGCCAGGCTCAATTAGCAAACTAAGCAAAAAAATGAAACTCAACTTTATAAAAGTGGTCCTTACCAGGGTAATGATCAACTCAGTAACTAAAGAAGGGTATTATCAACAAAATTAGTAATGCCTTCCTGGAAGTATCCGGCTACAAGACGATTCCTAGAATCAGCATTTTGCTATATTTTTCCTGGTGTATCTGTTCTTTATAAGCAAAACTTCAATTTCTCTGTACAGTTGGTTATATGAACATGATTTGCTAGTATCACCCTTTTCCTATAGAGCTCCTTTCATAAGAACTTGTAAACATTTCTGTTGTGCCTCACTTGAGGATGTAGCAAACAAAAAGTGGTTATAGAGATTGGTCCTTTCGTCTCATAAGAACTTGTATACAAGTCTGTTATGCCTCACTTGAAGATGTAGTGAACAAAAAGTGGTTATAGAGATTGCTTTTACGTTGACCGACCTTTGGCTAGAAGCTTGTGAAGGTGTTCTTGCAGCTCAGCTTTGCGAAATTTATATACCCCATGCACATTATGGTGCCTTGCCACGGCCCTGAGTTGATTCATTGTCATATACTTGAGATCTGTTTTGTCCGGAATTGGAACAGTGAATGTTGGGGAATCAAGAAGTTCATCATTCTCAACTTTAATGACTTGAAGGTTTTGATTTGATCTGTCGTATGATTTTACCAACCTATTCTGAAAATCTCTCAAATTCTCATTCTCTTGGAGGATTGGTCCTGTGGAACTTGTTATCCTTCTCTTCTTCAAGTGGATCAAAGAAGTTGAACTGATCTCCGGAAGATCACCAGTTCCTTTGGCTCCACCAAGTGGTGACAGACTCTCTTTGGTTGTTTTGTCTCTGGACTCATCACCTCCATTCTCCTTAGTACTTCCAGTCTTTAACTGCCTCTTGAGTTTTAGACCAGAAGGTGACTTGAACCCTAATTCCTCGGCAAGACATGGCTCTTTGGCCATTTCTGCAGGTACCTTCCATTTGAACTTCAGCCTCTGACTTTCTAGCTTTTGGGAAAATATTGAGTTAGATTTGTGTATGGTGAGTACTTGACTTTTGGGGGATTGCTTCACTTGCAGTTCACCTTTGAATTTTTCCAGTTGCTTGTTTCTGTCTTTCTTTATAGGATTTAACATGAGCAGACCTTCTCCCTTTATTCCAGGAATTTTTTTTGCGCCAGTCTGCTTTTGACTTACCAATTGACTTGAGGTGTGCTTTTCTCTAGTCTGACCAGCCTTTGCTCCATTCTGTGCCTGTTCATCTCCGGATTCTTTAGGTTCTTGTTTTACAGCACTTAGACGGGTCACCACAATTGCTCCAGCAGGCTGTCAAACGATATTGTCCCCCTTTTAGATGGGTAAGTCTCAAATAAGAACCAGAAAGTTTTCATGTATAAATGAATAGATACACAGACAGTAACGAACTCCACAAGTATAAACACTGAAGTTGCACACTGTGCCCTTACCTACCTCTCTAAGTTATACATTACCCATGGCTTTTCCTCTTCTCAATATAAGCTAAACTCTGAGACATTAGTCTACTTTACCAGCATTATGAAAATTACTTCCAAACTTTAGCCTCCTAGCCTGTTTCAATATTGTGATAGCACACTAAAGCAAATGGAAGATATTTCCAAACCTTAGGTCCTTCTCCAATGCTTGTTTGCTTGACTCCTAGAGATGGCTTTATGATTATGCTGTCATTAGAACCTTGTTGCATCAATTCATCCTCAAGGAGATCTTCTGACATGTTGATCTTCCTCTTTGATTCTCCACAAAATTCAGCTTTGTCTCTTAGAGGCTTTGTGCTTGCACTCTTTAAAACAGCACATGCAAACTGCTCGTGTAAGAATTAGATAAGATAACCGGTTAGTTGAAATATCTAGATTGGTATGTAACCTTATATGAATGAATGCTCAGTAAGCAGATCTATAAGTACATTGTTGAGTTGTGAAGGATTTTCTCGTTTGCTTCCATTAATCAGCTTTCCAGGAATATCAGACTCATTCAAATCCTTCAAAGTGGACTTGTCACTAGCATGACCAAAAGACTTTGTACAGGAGCCTTTGGTGATTGCATGTTCATCCTGGTCATTGTTTGAGAAAGAATGAAAATGCAGTCAATTGGACAAGTTTGGATGGAAAATTGATGCAACGAGGGAGCTGAAATGCTAGCATCCATTACGAAAAGAAATAAAAGGGCCTTAAGAGTACCAATGAACGGTCTTCAAATACTATTTAATTATAGACTCACAAAAATATGAGAAGTAAGCACAGAGATATTTATCTGATAAACTTATGCAATATACCCTAAATAGCTCAAAATCCTGCACATTTACAGCACCTCAATAGCTGTGCTTCCGTGGTTCAAATTCTCTTGCAATTTGCAACTCTTTAGTGGAACTACTAGAGATTATAAGCACTTACTGTTTCTTGTCGATTTCTTTCTTGAACCACAGATGATGTCTGGATCGTAACATTGGCCTGGACAGTAGATTCACCATTCGTTTCAACAGTCTCAATATCTTTTAAATTGTGGTTGTCGGCTGCTTCAACTTTTATAAGAACAGATGCAGCTAGCTTTGAACTTCCAAGAGTAGAGTATGCGGTCTGTTGATTATAAGGTAAAAGTCATGGAAATTCAACCAACTACTTAATTTGTAGGTTCAATGATTAGCTATATAAATGTAGAGATAATTCAACAATTATCTTCATTTAACAGCCCATTAGTTTCCTATTTATTCTTTCAATTTTAAGAATCACATTAAATTCCAAAAGTTTTCTGTCAAACAGCAAAGCACGTGTTATTCCTCAATTTTTTTTGGAGAGGGTCAGTAAAATGAAGATCATATTCACAAAAGGCAGCTCTAAGATGGTGCTGAATATGTACAGCTTAACCAAAAAGTATACTTCCTTCTATTCATAAAAGGCAGCAATGCACATATGTTATCCAATAAGTACTAATATCTAGCATTAACTTGAGAACATCAAGTATAAGCAATCTTACATCGGAAAGAACAATCACAGCCATCCAAGGCAACAGTAGATAAGAACAAGTAAATGTTCTGGGACCAAACCTGCTTGTCTCGTGGAGAAGAGAAATTTCTTGGCGGTGTCTCTAATATCTCATGAATTCTCTCTGAAGGTTTTTTATTTGTTTTTAAGTGAACACCAGAAGCTTGGACATTTTCAATTTTCAAGGCAGTTATCAAACTACCAAGGCGATCAATCTTTTTATTTAAAGCAGCAATGCACATGTCCAACCATCTTTCATCAGTACGGGATAGTTGGCTTTGTAGCATCACTATATCATCTTCAAGTTCGGCAATTTCTGTATCAGCTTTTGCAATGAGTATCTCTAGCACTTGCACACAACATTTCTCATTTAAGGCATCTTCTTCTATAATGTCTGGAAGCAAATCCATATAAAAAATGAAGCCAGGCAGATGCACGTTAATTGAAAACTATGTCTTTAAAAGTAAAGTATCTAATAGACTTTTTAAGAATGTATAAAAACAAGAGAGCTAATTAATAAAGTTACCAAGCTTTTGACTGAAATAGAAGTTTTGAGCCAAGCTGTTTGCTGGAAAACTGTTTTCATCTGAAGAAAAACTAAGTAAGTCAGTGCATTGATCTAAAGGTGATATTCGGTCCTCTTCAGCACTGCTTCTACCAAACAACCGCAAAAAGTGATCAGGTTAAACTAAGTAGGCAAGCCACTTATCGAGAAATAACACTACTCAATAAGTAGGCAAACCTTGAAAGTAAGGTGGGCCCCAGATGAACAAATCCATCTCTTTAAGAATCTTTAAGAAAGATCACCCTGTATCAGATACAAAAAAGAAGGATTGCAATTACATCCCTAATTTAAGAGAATATATCACCCGCAAAACTACACAGGCAGACACGCTGCAAGCTAACGATGATAAAGTTGCCAAATTCAGTATAAGCTGCCTATGATCAACAATTCCAAATGCAAGAATGACCGTTAAAACTGGAAAATGGTATTGCAGCCTGCAGCCCCACTAACTTATACAACTAAGCATAGTCCATATGGTGCTTCATGGTCTTAGAAAGATTGATTAATAGGTTTCCTTTGTTGGAAGAAAATGAGTCGAAGTCCTGGTGGTTCTACATCTTCTTCACCCCTTAACCCAGTCTTCTAGTACCCTCCTTTCCCCACCCGAACTCACCAACAACAACATACCCAGTGTAATCCCACAAGTGACCTATAAGTGGTGTCGGGAGAGGGTAGATTGTACGTAGACCTTACACCTACTTCATCGAGGTAGAGAGTTGTTTCTAAAGAACCCTCAACCCAAACTCAAGTGCAACAAATCAAAGTAGTTATCAAAAAGCAAATACAGCAGAAAAGTCAGTTCTGCCTCTGCATCACCCCCTAACCCAGTCTTCTAGTACCCTCCTTTCCGGCTTTCCCCACCCCAACTCACCAACAACAACAACATAATCCCACTAGTGGGCCATAGGTGGAGCCCAGGGAGGGTATATTATACATAGACCTTATCCATTCCTCATTGAGGTAGAGAGATTGTTTCCGAAAGACATCAAATCAAACTCAAGTGCAGCAAATCAAATTAGTTATGAAAAAAAGAAAATACGGCAGAAAGACACCACCACTATCTCACCACCCAAAATGTTCATGAAAACCCCATCCTTACATCATGAAACATACTAGTAATATGCAGATTAGTCCACTACATACAAAAAGAAGAACAAGAAAAAACTACTCCTCTCACTCTTCAACATTCACTCATTTTTTTAAAAAATACAGCACGAAAATCAAAACCCAAGTATACTCCACCATTTCATTAGCATAAAAACTCTAGCAAAAACAAAAAACACATAAATTTAACACTTCCAACTGAAAAATGCACGAGAATGTAACAAAAAAATCTTGAAAATTAAAGCTAACAAAGCGAAATACCTGAAAATTTCTGAATCCAACAATGAAAAGAGCAAAAAGGGGTTTTGAAACCCTAAAAATTTGTAGAAAAAGTGAGCTAAGAATGGATTTTTTTTTTTTTTTTTGCAGAGATGAAAGCTAAGCTTAGTATATATAGAGTAGTGTGGACTGTAGAGTAAGCAGGGGAAGGGTATGGTTGTAATTAAATGGCAATTGAAGGGTAAATTATACTAATAGGAAATTGTTGCCTATTTGTGACTTGGAAGATTTAAGGAAATTGTGGGGCCTACTATCTTGATTCCTTAAAATGGATTTTGGACCCCACCTATGCTGACCTATTGATCTTGCTCTTTATAGTAAATAAAATAAAATAAAATTGTGTTCGATATCAGCATCAGAGTTTGAGTAGACTTACGAATTGTGCATTATAAGATCTATTTCTTCAGTAGCTGATAAGATTATTTTTATTTTTTGTGTTTGGTAGAGAGTAATCAAAAATGGATAGTGTTCAATTGGAGTATGATAGCGTGATTAAATTGGAGCTCCTCTTCAAGATGGATGGATAAGAGGACGCGTACCTCGAATTCTGATTATAGATAAGCATTAGAGTTTGAGTATACCTTAGAATTACGCATTGTAAGGCCTATTTTTTTAGTAGCTAACGAAGATTATTTTCATTTTCCTGTACCTCAGACTTTTGATTGTAGATAGAGGGATACCAATGTTAATACTTTGAAAAACACAATTTTGATTTTGAGGGGAAAAAAAATAGAAAAAGAACATTTTCATAATTAAAGAACCCGTTTGGCTAATTCAATTTGAAATTATATTTGAAATTTAAATATCAAAAAGATATTGTAACTTGTTCTATTAACTCGCTTTTAAAGTTGTATTTAAGTATAAATACATTCAAACATGAAGATTGTTCCATATACTTTTTACAAAAAAATATAATAAAAAATATAACTAAACACAATTTCATCTTTTAAGAAGTAATATTCTTCTTAAACACTTCCGCAAAGGAATAGTAAGCTTTCACATGCACATGTTATTTGCAAAAAAATGTCGTGTCCCACTTTATTAGCTCTTGTTTGGCAATGAATTTTGAAGTTAAAAATTGAAATTTAAAATTTTGAATTTTTGAAGTTATATTTAGACATTTTTTAATTAAAATTTTGTGCATGGATACACCAAAATTTGAACAATAAAATTCTTAAATGCTAATCAAATTTTATGAATAAAATAAATATTTGAAATAGTTTTTTAAAATCTGATTTACAATCTATGGTCAAATGCTAAATATATTATCTAAATATAGAATGAATAATAACTTAAATTATGGCAACATGTTTTCATAAAACAAGATTTGAAAACAATTATTTATATGTAAAATATATGGTTCTTTTTTGTATTTGTTTAATTTTTGAATGTCAGAACTATATGTTATTTGTATTGATGGAAAAATAATAATAGCTCGATAGAATAATCGAAATAGAGATGAATATAGATGTTCTAGCTTATGATTTTTAAATCACAACCTTTTTTTTTCTTTTTTCATAATGTGTACAAATGAATTTTAGCACAAATACAAAATCCGAATTAAAAAAATATTAAATTTTATCGAATTAATAATTATAATTTATACGGTGACTCTTCTCCTATGTTGAAAATATATACAAGTTAGCCCAAATACTATTCTCAACCGCGATAGTGTTAGAGGAACATTTTATTGAATATATAATTATAATTTATACTGTGAATCTTCTCCTATGTTGAAATATATACAAGTTAACCCAAATACTATTCTCAATCGGGATAGAATTAGAGGAGCGTCAAAAATTCACACTACATATGTCTAAGGACAACTAAGGAACTATAAAGTATACTTATTAGTAATTTGATACATCAATAACAACATACTTAGTATAGTTTTATAAGTGGCCTTACGAAGAATAGTAAGTCTTACATCTATCTGTCAAAGATAAAAAAACTATTTCTAATAAACCATCAACTCAAATAAAACATGATAAAATCAAGTAAGAGATTGATTTGATACATAAATAACATAATGTTTAGAAACAAAATAAATATTCAAAATTCCAACCATGAATTACTAACCCTCGCAAAATTGTCTATTATTATAAGAAAATTTCTAAAAGATTCGTTTAGTTGAGGAATAAGTTATCTCAATTTTTTTTTAATCACATTCTCATTATAAAATAAAATAAAAGCCATTATAATTTCAAAATAAATTATTTTACAACATTATTCCAACCAAACATAAAATAAATTCATCTAAAATTACTTTCAAAATTATTACTTTTTATCTTTCGTACCAAACGAACCTCATGATCTAAGGGAGAGAGGAAAGACAAGAAACACTATAACTACACACCTCCCTACAAAAGTTGCCAAACACACAAAAACACAAATCAAACCAAAGCCATCCCTTTTACACACAAAATTGAATCATCCCACAACAAATCAAGAAACACACACAAATCAAAGTTTCCATGAATGAATGAACCCTTTCTCTCTTCCTTAATCCAAAATCTAACAACAACCCATTTCCACCATGTCCACACCACAATCAGAAAAACAAGCTCTTTTTATTACCTCACTCATCATTTTCTGGTATTCTTCCAACATTGGTGTTCTTCTCCTCAACAAATTATTACTTTCTAATTATGGTTTCTCTTTCCCAATCTTCCTTACTATGTGTCATATGTCTGCTTGTGCTGTTCTTAGCTATGTTTCCATTGTTTTCTTAAAGATTGTACCTTTTCAAAGGATCAAATCAAGATCTCAATTTTTGAGGATTTCTACACTTAGCCTTGTATTTTGTGGGTCTGTTGTGGGTGGTAATATTTCTTTAAGGTATTTACCTGTTTCATTCAATCAAGCTGTGGGTGCTACGACGCCGTTTTTCACTGCAGTGTTTGCTTATATGATCACCGTGAAGAGGGAAGCTTGGCTTACCTATGGTTGTCTTGTTCCTGTGGTTGCTGGTGTTGTCATTGCAAGCGGGGTATGTTTTACTAGTTTTGAATCTTTTTTTTTTCTTGATCGTTTGTGTTGAATCAATTGTTAATCTTTGTGTTTGGGTTAATTTGTGATGTATTCATTATTTTTGTGTTTTTTTTTCTCCTTTTAAATCTACTTTTTTATGTGTTACCTGAGTCGAAGATCTTTCGAAACAACCTCTTTACCTCCACGAGGTAGTAGGATAAGGTGTGGTACACTCTACCCTCCCTAGACCCCACGTGTGTGATTTTATTGGGTATGCTGTTTTTGTTGTGATTTAGCTTTTGGGAGAAAGATAAATCTTATTATGAGCTTTTTGGGATCTTGAGAAATCTATGGTTGTTGAAAGTTGGAAAAAAATAATTGAATGTTAGCTTTTGCTAGTGTAAATTTGCCTTTTTTTTTTGTTTTTCACCTGGTGTACGGTATTTGGATTGGAGCTTTGACTAATTCGGATTTGTGTTGCATATGGCCATTTGAGGGATCACTCGTTTAACATGATTTTTTTCCTCATGAGACCTTTAATTAAAGGTGATAGAAATTTCTAATCTTTTACTTTAAAAAGAATTTATTTAGTTTTGGATCAATTGTCAATTTTTGTTTGTTTTGCGGGGCTATGTTGCTCGGACTCTCCCAAAAATGTTGTTGTGCTTGTGTTGGATCCTCCAAAAATGCATTACTTTTGAAGGACCCGACATGCACGTGTTTTCTTTTGTTTGATCTGGTTGTGACTTGTGATTTAATTTTTCTGAAGAAAGACATCTATATCTTAATTTTCTGTGATTTTTAGCCTTTTAGGATATTGAGAAATCTACAGTTGTTTATCATTTGGAATAATAAGAAGCTCCCTCGGGAAAGTACTACAACACACAGCTACCTGCTACCCTAATCCTCGACCTCCAGACCTTTCTATCTAAGAGTCATGTCCTTAGTAAGCGATTGATGTGTCGTGTATTCATTTCGCTGTAACACTGGTTGAAAGAAAGGTTAGCTTCCTGAAGCTGCAATATAGTTTGAACAGCTAGTGGTCCAAATAGATGCACACTAGTGGAGAAGTAAAATATCGAATCACCGTAATGGTTGCACACAAGTACTTACTCTGCTTTAGATTTTGGTCCAATTTTTTCCATTATGGTGAAGTGTTGATTTGATCTTCCAAGTCTTTACCTATCATGGAAAACGAAAAATTTTCAACTGTTTTTATGAGTTAAAATCTGGAAAGTACTTAATATACCTCCTTATAAGCAACTTAAGTACATGTTCAGCTTTTACTAATGTACTGACAAGTATGTCAATTGATGGCAGGGGGAGCCTAATTTCCACCTTTATGGATTCATTATGTGTATAGGTGCAACTGCTGCACGTGCGTTCAAGTCTGTTCTTCAAGGTGTTCTTCTTTCCTCTGAAGGGTAAGTATTTTGGTTTTCTGAACATCTATTTCAATTTTTCTCTTTGGAATTGAATTTACAAGGATAAAAGAAAGTGTGTGATGACAGGGGTAGCGTTCATTTTTCTCCTCGTATATGTCATTTGCTTGTTTCAGCACTGCCCGTTCTTTAGTGTTTCCGATTGGGGTTGGTTGATAATACTAGAAATATAATCCAACATTTGAACAATCCGATTGGGGTTGGTTGCTTCTTCAAGATTTGACATTTTTTTGTTTCAATTGTGATGGTATTGAAGAGCCTCTAGGGCATAGATCTTGTGGTAAGAGTGCAGTGTGTGGTGTGTATATGTTCATTAAGTAAGGCGCACGTCACAGGTTAGAGCCCTGTCGTAGAAATAAGCCTGACATTTAAGTGTAGGATAGAAGAGCGAACCTATTATCCACCAATTTCAAACCATGCACTACTGGCCCTCGGGGATTTCAAAAGTTATTTCTCATTCATTTGTTTTACTGATACTTTTTAACAGCTCTTTCTAACCTGCCTTCTCTTATTAGGGAAAAATTGAACTCCATGAATCTGCTGCTTTACATGTCACCAATTGCTGTTCTAGTTTTAATGCCTGCGGCAATCATAATGGAGCCTAATGTGATAGATGTCACTGCGACACTTGCAACGGAACATAGATACCTTGGCCTACTTATTTTGGTCAATTCTGCAATGGCATATGGAGCCAATTTGTTGAACTTTTTGGTGACAAAGCATACCAGTGCTTTGACACTCCAGGTTTTACTCTCTACTTCTTCTCCTCCTCGTTCGTCCCATAAATGATACGATGTATTTTTCGCACTCAAGGGTGTGGCCTAGTGGTCAATGAGGTGAATTGAGAATCATGAATTTGTCGGTTCAAATCTCAATGGAAACAAAAAAACACTAGGTGATATCTTCCTATATGTCCTAGCCTTGATGGATAGAGTTACCTGGTAACTCCTGCTAATGGAATGTGACATGTATCCCGTGGAATTAGTCGAGGTGCACACAAGTTGGCCAGTATACCACAGTTATGAAAAATAAAATTAAAAAAATGATACAACATTTTTCAATGCTAAACAGACACACACTGAAGTTTATTTTGTGCTTAAAATTTAAAAGAGAATACATGGTAGCATGATAAATGTATATGACAAATCTATGTTGCTTGAAATCTGCAAAAATATTGTTGCGCCCGTGTCAGATCTTCCAAAAATACACTACTTTTGGAGGATCCGGCACACACATGTCCGCAATTTTGAAAAGTCCAAGCCAACGTAGATGACAAATGTGTATGACAGACAACAATTATTTGATGAACTTTATTACTCACATTCATATATAAGGGATGATATTTTTGTATATTGTTACGTATACAATAAAATACGAGTAATATTTTTAATATTACGTCACCCCCAGATTAATTTCTGAAATAGTTCTAACACAAGAAGTTAGTTGTTTCTCAGAAATTACTCATGCAATTTCACATTATACCGCGGTATCTATTGTTTTCAACTCGTTCTAAGCATCTTCATACTCTGTCTACTTCTGTAGGTCCTAGGAAACGCTAAAGGTGCTGTGGCTGTTGTTATATCTATACTTCTTTTCCGAAACCCTGTAACTTTTACTGGAATTGCGGGCTATACATTGACTGTGATGGGGGTTGTTGCTTACGGAGAAGCCAAAAGAAGACACAAATGAGCTGAGATTTGGCCTTCGTTTCTTCTCCAACGAAGCCCCATACTTTTGTTTTCTTGAAGTTTAGAGACATATATTGTAGATTGAAGATAAAACGGATTTCACTGCTACATTGTAGGTTGTAGCACATAGATATACAGAGAGGAAATAGAAAAAGGGGATGCTGATAAAAATCGTTGTTTTAGACGATGAATATATAGAAAAACTATTCAGTTCTAGTAGTTCAGCCTGGGAAATGTTCCCGTTCATTAGTTGTATTCTTTACATCGAGACGATAGGATGTATGCATCTGTATCTGACTCTGATGTTGATATATTAAAGTAATTTAATGTCTTATTCGCCATCCTTTTGCGTTTGTGCTATGTTATATTTCCATTTTACTCGAAATTTTCTATCGATGCATTTATGCTTTTGAATGATTGAAGTAAACTTTGATGATGATGTCTTGACTTGCTAACTTAACCTCTTAAGACTAAGTTATTTCGAGAAATTCTCGAAAGCCAGTGGTGAGCAATTTGAAACTCGGTGGAGAATGGGCCCGCATCTCTATCTTTCTCCACTTGAATATCAAGATTTTGCATGTGGCATAGTTTGAACCTGTGAAGGTATTATCAGAACAATTTTGTAAACTACATTTGTAGGTTGTGGTGTAATGGTGGGACTGCTCCACCCTTAACCAGAGTTCTCAAGTTCAACTCCTAGGTATGGAGAAAATCCAGTTGGGAGCACCACCCTAGAATGGGCCTTGCAGAGTGCGATCCGAATTTAGTTGAGGCTCCAATGCAGGTTACGGACACTGGGTGAGAAACCAGAAAAAAAAACTTTGGGAACATTTTTAATATATGGTTTTTGGTGGGAAAACAGATACGTGGATGTGAAGATAACATGCAAGTTTTGAAATATGTAAACATGTCTTAAACTCTACAAGGACTTGATGGCAATTGAGATATCTCTCGGATTCGAGTTATGATAGTGAATAACATTTCAATAAGGAGTGTTTTACTCCCTTTGTAGAGCCTATTTAGCATGATTCCACATTAATTTTTCCAATAGTACCAAATATCATCTTATGGAACGAAGTTTCATGTAATATGGAGTTCAACCAAAACGAACATCTATAGGTAAACGAAGGATTTGAATCTCAAGTTATTCAAGCCTCAAGAACGGAGAAAATCAGATTGTTGAATCAAAAGAAAAAAAGAAGATTAAGTTGAATAACAAAGTAATGTATTAGAGAAAGCTTGGAGATGAACAATGAACAAGGCAAACAAAAGTTCAAATAGAATAAAAGTATGTGAAAATATAACAGTAAATCTATGAAAAGATCAACCAACACGAGTCTCTCAGTAAGCCAAAGGGAATTAATTATGAGGTTCGGACATTCCTCAGATATCAGTTGTTCCATCCTGTAAACACTTGCAGAGCATTCAGTAACGAAAGCTAAAGTTTCAAAATCTGGTCTTATCAGGAATAGTCTCTTCACAAACCAAAAAGAAAGAAAAAGAGCTTTTCCATCAAACACCTGTTCAGAAAGAGAAACGAAAATCGACAAAGAAATTTCAAGTGCAACTTGGAGGTTAGATGGTGAAATTAGCTGTTTTTTAGTCTGCATTTTGTATTTTCTCTCCATTTGTTTTGATTTCCTTCTTACCTCAAAAAGGCCTCGTAGTATTCGAAAATGAACTTTTTTCCAAGTAAGACATTCTCTATTGCATTTGATTACCTCACTCTTAGGCAAGTTCTGGACCATCTGGGAGCAGATCATAACCATCATGTTGCTTGGGAGTTTCGACTGGGATCAACTTCAAAATGACAGCAACGATCAAGCTTACAGCGCCAATTGAGACACTGAGCAGCCATAGTTGCCAGCTAAGTGGTGTAGTGCTGGCAAAAGTGCCTAAGAACTCGACGATGATAACTTGAAAAACAACTGTAGCAATCATGACGCCTATGAAAATACTGCTGCCAAAAATGCCACGGAAAATGTTTATCTTCTCCATGTCACGGCTGTTTATTTCATTGAAAACCTGTATGGAACCACCACCCACAAAAGCGCCAACTGGTTAGTGAATAGTACAGAGTACAAAGAATGAAAGAATGAACCAAAAAGGACTGTGAGAGTCGATAGGTACAGAGTGTGACGCACAAAACAAAAGCTGCCAGGATAATAAACTGAATTTAAAAGGCACACCTGACAAAACACAAAGGTGTTGAAAATGAAAGTATTCAGAACCATTGTAGAATCTGAACCTTCAAGTCCCAAAATCTGCTTCCCCGCGAAGTTGAAGGCTAAGAGTACAGCCAGCTGGTAGATACTGTGCCCTATTATATTTCTCCACATTGTCTTTGTAATGAAACTTACATCCCTTCCAACAGGAGGCCTACTCATTAGTCCGTCATGAGGTGGTTCAGTGGCAAGCGCGAGTGCACCTAAAGTATCCATGATAAGGTTGACCCAAAGAAGCTGAACAGCTGTAAGAGGAGCAGATCCTGAAAGAAGTTGCAGCAGATAAGTATCGTCAGAGTCTAATACTCCTATTGCTATCACGACTTATGAACTCTCTATCTCTCTCTCTCTCTCTTTCTGTGAGTGTGTGACTATTGATTCGTTGATTAAAGAGATCAGTAGCAGAAAATGAATGAACTCAATTAAAGCAATAAACACCTGAGGCGCATGCAGAAATAAAATTGATCATCAAAGCCACAACATTGACAGTCAACTGGAATTGCACGAATTTTTGAATGTTTATATATACAGAACGGCCCCATTTAGCCACATTCACAATTGTGCTAAAGTTGTCATCAAGCACTATAATATCAGCACTTTCTTTCGCAACCTGCAATGTCGTTTTGATGAAAAAAAGTGAAGATTAGCTCAAGCTGGAGCTGAATGGATATTATTGTTACAAACATGTAAAACTTTTTAAAGAGAAACAAAGGTGCAAAAATATGTAGGGGACACAGTTCCTAGAACTTTTATAGCAAATGTCGATTAAACTCACTAAAACAGGAAAAAATGAGGTTTAATTATATGTTGGAAGTCAATGTCTTCTGAGTGATATATTAAATGTTTGAGATATTGAAAAGAAAGATGAAAAGGAATGTTCACACGGGAAACTTCAGGCACTGACGATGTATCACAAATATTTGATATAAACTATAACGAAGACTGCAATTAGTAAGAAAATTTTGACCATATATCAGAATTGAAAAGATAAAAACTGCTGATTGGAGCCTGCAAGAATAAAATGGTATATATGACCATATCAACTCAGAGCAGGAGCAAATTTACAAACCTCCGTTCCTGCTATACCCATAGCAAGTCCAATATCTGACTCATGCAAGGCAGGGGCATCATTTGTGCCATCACCAGTAACTGCAACAACTTCTTTAAACATGCCTCTCAAATTCTTTACCAACACGTGCTTGTCAGTAGGGGATGATCGAGCCATAACCTGCATTCAATATATAAACATTTTTCAGCAAAATGTATTCAAGTCACGAGGATCTACATGGATGATATAAAGCAATCAAATGCATACCTGAATTCTAGGAATTATTTGCCTCATTTCATCAGGACTTTTGTTGCGGAATTCTGTGCCTTCAATGGCCAAACCATCATCAGTTAGTATACCACATTCCTTAGCAATGGCTTTGGCCGTATGGATATTGTCCCCTGTGACCATCCTTACAGTAATTCCAGCAGCTAAACAAGATTTAACTGCCTCTTTAACACCAGGACGAACTGGATCTTTGATTCCAACTACTGCAACCAATGTATAGCCACTATCAGGAATATTATTTTCTTGATAACCATCTCCAACGTCCTTGAAAGCCAAGGAAAGAGTACGCAAGGCTTCATCAGCAAATTCATTAATGACATTTGTGATGTTCGCAGCTTGTTCTTCTGACATATTAACAATTTCACCATTACAATCAATAAACTTGTCACACATTTTTAAGACTATCTCAGATGCACCCTTGCAGAACGCACGGGTGTTGCTATCAGGAAGACCAACAAGCACTGACATTCTTTTCTTTGCTGAATTGAAAGGTTCAACCTTCAGCAATTTACAATCCTTTTTTTTATCATCAATATCACCAAGAAGTAATCCATAATCTAATATTGCAGATTCTGTGGGTGAACCCAGAACAGATTTCTTTCCATCCTTGTCTTTAACCACCTCAGCTGCTGTATTATGAAATATTGCCTGCAATAGTAAGTCCTGAGCACTTTCTGATAAATCTGTTATTGCATCTGCGGATCCGCCATTTTCTACCTTTTTAGCCTTTTCACAAATCCATATTTTATCTACTACCATATGGTTTGTTGTTAGTGTTCCTGTCTTATCAGTACAGATGCAAGTAGCTGAACCCATTGTCTCACAAGCAGAAAGATGCCTCACCAATGCTTTATTGTCCATTAACTTTTTCATCGCAAATGCAAGGCTTAATGTGACAGCCAGAGGTAATCCTTCTGGGACTGCAACAACGATTATAGTTACAGCTGTGGCAAAGTAATTTAGAAGAGTTAATGCATCACTGGAGGACCATTGTGTGATATGATGGTGAGTAGCTTTATTCACCAGAAATCTTACTATTAATACAAGAAATGTCACCACAGCAAATCCGAGTCCTACCTTTCCAATAATAGTGGCAACACCATTCAGTTTGACTTGCAGAGGAGTTTCATCTTCTCCTCCCTCGCTAAGAGTTTCCATCAGCTTACCCCATTCAGTTCTCATACCAACAGTGGTCACTAGCATCTTAGCTGAACCGTCTTGTACTTTGGTTCCCGATAGAAGAAAAGGTCTTTTCTCAGATATGCTTACTGGTACACTCTCACCAGACAAGCTCGATTGATCAATTAGCAAGCTATATCCTGCTATGAATATTCCATCAGCTGGAACCAGATCTCCAATAGATAAGTGAACTATATCACCAACCACCAAGTCATAAATGGAAACCTTCTGCCTTGATCCATCTCTCGTGACCTGGATAGATATCTTTTTCTTCTCCTTATCCAAATCTCTGAACTGCAACGACTGCCTATAGTCACTAATTGCAGTAACCATGACTACCAATACTATACTGAGTAGAATTCCTAAACCATCATATGTTCCTTTCGGCCACCCTTCAGTAGC